TCTGAAGCTGCCAGGCCTGATGTCACTTACCAGGTGAGGGGAAGCACGGCTGGACACTGATGGCAGCTCAGCTCTGTGCTGAGGGAGTTACTGGAGCCTTAAACACCACATGAGTCACAGCTGGGGTGCTTACAGTCTTTATATGATCTATCTATATATATATAGAGTATAACTACAGACTGAATCTCCAAGGTAACTCACCATGAGTCATCTTAAAAAGAGTTCAGAGGGATGGAGAGGGATGTGTGGCAAGGTGTTGGTGTTATTTTCTACTGTATTCCTCTGATTCAGGCAGGACTTCCATGTTCCAGGTCTGTTCCAGGCCTCTCCTTGTTGGGGAGGCCTTTGCTCAGGTGCCATCCAGAGTTACTCAAATGTATCAAAACCACTCAAGTGTTTGTAATTTAAAAAACTGCTCTGAATGTGGCATTCCTCTGCTGGAAAATTGTTTTGTACTTTAGCCCTTCACGTGTTTTCCATTAAGAAAATGAAGGTTTTGACTGAAGTGCAGGGAAGAACCCTCAGCAAGCAGTCTGGGGGTGCTTTGGCTTTGTTGGAAGGGTCCTTATGGAGCCATTTGTTGTTTCAGGAGCCCCAGGGTGCTCAGGCTGCCCAGCAGCAAGGTCCTTGCCAGTATGAGATGAAACAATTCCTGGAGTGTGCCCAGAAGCAGACCGACCTCAAGCTGTGTGAGGGCTTCAGTGAGGTGCTCAAGCAGTGCAGGATTTCCAATGGTAAGTACACAGAGCTGGCAGGCAGCTCTTAAATGGGATAATCAGTAAAAATATCATGGGAATGATGTCCTGGGGCTTTGATGCAGCTGGGGAGTGATGGAGGTGCTCTGAAGTCTGGTAAGGCAGCTGCTGTTCTGTTGGGCTTTGTGCTTGGGTCCTGTGGGGTGGAGAGGGGTGAATTCCTGATGCTTGGATTGGAAATGACTGGAAAAGTGGCAGCAGCACATTTGGGGCATTAGCAGAGCTCTGAGGATAACAAAACCATCCTGTCCCAGGAGGAAGGAGGCAGCTGTGCACTAGTGCTGATGTCTGCAGCTCAGCATATCCCAGCAAATGGAACACCCTGACAAATCTGACCTGTGGCAGGGAAAACACCTTCCATTCAGGAATCCAAAATTTACTGAGATACCTCCTTACCCTTCCATTCAGGAGTCCAAAACTCACTGAGAAAACTGTTTATCCTTCCATTCAGGGATCTAAAACTCACTGACATTAACTCCTTCCCTTTCAGGTTTGTCCTAAGCCTGTGCAAGGCGGCTGCTGAACATCATCGTGCAAGAACTGACCTATGAATGAAAAACAAAAAGCTTCAGTAATAAAGTTTAAAGCTGCCTGGTATCTTGTTAGTTCATATATTCACACTGTCATCTCTGTGGCTTGACTCCTGCCATAGCTGCCTCTGATGTGATCCAACTACACAGCCGCAATTTAATTTAGCACAAAATGGAAGAGTGAATAATTAAGCAGAATGAGCTAACGTGGGTTTTACTGGTTTTGCTGATTGTTGTGTTGAACGTATGTAATGTCTATAAATAAACTTCTCTCTCTAGAAGTATCTTGCTTTGGTTGAGTTTGAGTGCTGGAGTAGAAGGGTGAGGAGGTGAGAACTAATTTTGGCAGGGTATTCTGCAGGTGTTTCTTTTTGTGCTGTAATATGGCTGAACCTTGAGAGGAAGGGCCTGTGGCTTTTCCCCCCTGCCTGGCTCAGGCAAGTTACAAAGCCATGGCAGCTACATGAAAATAATAATTATTTTAAAAGTATTTACTGATGCAAAGTGCAAGCCCTCATTTTCCCATTGGAGTGAGCTGCCACATCACACCTTGCTCAAATCCTTGGGGCTGATAAAGTAAACACCCTACTGGGCATCACTGGAAAAGCCTGGATAAGTTGTGCTCCCACCAGGAACTGTGGTGGGGAATAACCCTCCTCTTAAAAGTACAGTTCCTGTTAAAAATACTTTCCCTAGCATTACCTGTTTTCCCTCATATGTTATACTGTTGGATGTTCTGCCTGTTCCTAAAGCACTTCATGGTCACTTGCAGTTCTGAAAGTGAAAAGCTTAAATCAGTGCTCAGAAGGGAGAGGAGTCACCTCACACAGTGGGGATGAGGACAGAACTGATAGGAACAGCTTTTGTGTGCTGATCAAGCTCCCATCTCATTTCTGGGGTGTTTCACCGTCCTGATGAAACGGAAATAAAACCAGTGGATGGTTTGGGCCACTCTGTGATAAGAGGAAATAGCCTTAAGCTGATACAGGGGAAATTCGGTTAGCTATTAGGAGGAAAAAAAAAATACTGTTTGGGTGGTCAGGCATTGGAACAGTTTCCTGGAGAAATTGTGGAGGTGTCCCATCCATGGAGGTATCCAAGAGGTGCCCGGACCCGGCACTGGGTGCTCACGGTGGCAGCGCTGGGTCCGGCTGCTCTCCAAGCTCCCTCCCGCCGTTCCCATTCC